GGACCCTGAACGGGCAGATGACGGAGCCCAGTTTTTCAGTTTACTAGGCCTCCTCTCTTAGAAACAGAGGGTGCACATGTAGACCGGCCTCCAATAAAAACAACATACAAACTCCTCTGCTTAAAAATCAAAAACAAAACAGAATTAGTGTTTTCCTTAGTGTTCCTCTGTAGCTTTCATGCCTCAATAAAACCTGGTTGCATGCCTTAACTGAAAATTGTAAAAGCAGTCGGTTTTTTCATTATGCAAAGTAAAAGGCTTGGGGTAAAATTGGGAGGGTATCGTCCTTAATTATCTTTGTATGTATTTGGATCTTATTGCCATAAAGGTCTGAAAACGAAGAATTTACTCAAACCATCAACTGCAGGCTGTGATGGGGCCTGAGGACTCAAATTATCTGTGATTTATTTTGCTGCATTTTCAGGGAGAAAATGAGACAACCACCTCAGTTTCCGTATTTAACTTAATTGCAGGCATACAGCTGTACTAATTATCTTTTTAAAATATACATCATATATGCATACATATTTCATGGGAAAATGCAAAGAATCCATGGCACACTGACAATGGGGAAAATTGTGACATTTTGATCACTTGTGAATATGTGAGAGTGAGATTATGGCTGAATGTTAGCAATACAATCATTAATGCATTTTACTAACTAGGGTACCTTTCATTGCTCTTTTGAACTGGGGGAAGACAGTAATTCTTAACCCTGTTTTGCCTGGTTTTGAACTATTGGTAAACCAGGAAACAGGAAAGTGCTTTAAGCCTACTGTTCTATTTGGATTTCAGCACTTGCTCAAAAATGTTCACATAGGTACCTGAGATAGTGAGGTGTCATACAGAGGCAGCCACTTGTTCTCAATAGGTACCTGAGATAGTGAGGCGTCATACAGAGGCAGCCACTTGTTCTCAAGCAGGTCACTCGTTCATAGGTCCCCATGTCTGAGGCAATGAGATGGCACATAGTAACAACAGCAGCAGTGGCAACAACTACAGCAGCACAGGCTGTGATGGGGCTCCTTTCCCTCCCCTAGTGGTCCTGAGGTGAGATCTCTAGGGCAAAGTGGGGAGCATTCCACCTTGGACCCCCAGATGCTCTTAGACTACAACTCTCCGAAATCCTAGCCAGCACAACTGGTGGTGAAGGCTTCTCTAAATTTTAGTCCAAGAACATCTGGGGTTGCAAAGTTGGGAACCACTGCTCTAGGGTGACTACCTATGTCTTCTCTTGCTGAGAAAAATTCTCCAACTGAAAGACTGACTGAGAACATTTTTTCTGTTGAAAATGGCCTCCCTTTGTTCTCTTGCTGAGAAAAGTTCTCCAACTGAAAGACTGAGAACATTTTTTTCTGTTGAAAATGGCCTCCCTTTGAAGGAGAGTTCAATCCACGTCTGCTTTAAAGATTAAGAAGGATGAAGAGGGGGATGAAGGTTTTTTAAACTGGTCACCCATAGTGAACAGACACATGCCTCACCTGGTCCCTGTCTTCCTCACTTAAGTGAGGTAATTGTGTTTAAATAATTTTTTAAAAGTTCTAAATTTGCATGTACAGATACAATTGAACACATGCAATTTTATGCAAATCAGTATTCTCGATTGTCCTCCTCTTTGGTAAGTATATGAAGCCAATGGTTGTTGTGGGTTTTCCGGGCTGTGAACAGACACATGCCTCACCTGGTCCCTGTCTTCCTCACTTAAGTGAGGTAATTGTGTTTAAATAATTTTTTAAAAGTTCTAAATTTGCATGTACAGATACAATTGAACACATGCAATTTTATGCAAATCAGTATTCTCGATTGTCCTCCTCTTTGGTAAGTATATGAAGCCAATGGTTGTTGTGGGTTTTCCGGGCTGTTTGGCTGTGAAGCCAGTCTAATAAGATTTATGTCAGTCTGCCTGACTACCTCTGCATCCATCCTTCTATATGTTTGCATGTGGTGGGGGCTTCTGTGCAAGATTCTCTGACATCTGGAGTTAGTATATAAAGCAGTTTGTCTTTTCAACATTCATATTGTGGTTGCCTAAGTATTATCTTAACGTGGCTGTGAATTCTAACAGGATATTCCTAACAGTGTTTGTCACGTTCCCACACGGCCCCTGCTTGTTTCACCAAACTAAGAGCTCATGCTACGTGTCTTTCAGCTGCCACCAGCTGATTGCATCAACTTCGTTTATTATTAATAATAAAAGTCCAGGCAATGTGTCATTTTTAAATGAACCAAATAGAAATTGTTTATTGTTTACAGATGTTGACAGAACAAGCAATGTTGTTAAATCTCAAACATCCTCCTTTATCCACTCTCAACCATCACTTTCCCCCCAAACTCCAAAAACTCCTCAACTAACCCCCCCTCCTCCAGAATCTCTTATATCTCGTGACTCTGCCCCTCCAGCACTCCCATTGGTCTATGCAGATATCACATTAATATTCATGACCTGGGCGGACGCCACATTCCTCCCCCCCAATAAGTTTGTTTTAGGAGGGAAACCTAACCGTTTGCCCTCATAAACAAATGAAGGTTTATGGAAGAATACAAATACTAACCTTATGTTATTTACATTACTAAGGATACATTATATTACTCTTACATTAATAAAGATATATTAACCTCTTACATTAGTTACATCAATAAGGATACATTACTGACATTAATACAAATTACATTAAATAACTTTTACATTAATAATGATCCTTATTATTTTTACCATCACTATACCAATCTCTTAGTTTATTAATATTCAAGCAAATTCTATACTTAATGCATATTCCATAACTATTACAGAAACAGAACAGTTAATACAATATTACAAATGTTCTCCACCCAGTCATTTGGCCTTTGAGACAAGGCATCAGCATTTTGGGTCCTTTTTACGCTGCGGATTTCAAGTCAAAGTCTTGTAGAATCAGCACCTGTCTCATCAATTTGCTGCTGTTGGCTTGAATAGTCCTTAGCCATAGAAGAGGAGAGTGATCGGTGCACAGGACAAATCTTCTTCTCCAAATATACAGCTTCAGCTTTTGCAGTGTCCATACGATAGCCAGACATTTCTTGATGGTGGATAACTGTCTCTCACCAGGTTGGAGTTTCGAAGGCTACCTGGTACTCTGACATCCACTGGATGTCCTCAGCTCGCCTCTTTCAGGTTAAGCCTATTTTCTTTTTAATTAGTGGCTTCATTTTCTCAAAGGTGGGAAGGGTAGGCAGTTTCTTCCACTCCTCCAGAACAGTTATGGCTGCATTCCTTGAAATAATAAAAAAATAAGTCCAGACTTACAGAAACATATCTATTTGTAAGCCCATCAACTTCATTTTAATAAATCTAATTGTGGTTTAGTGGATACTTTTTAAAAAAAAAGTCTTAGAAAAAATGGGCAGCTCATTATCCTAATATAATTTTTTAAAAAAATCTGTTTTGAAAATGGAGTGTTTAGCATACATTTGTAAACAGGACACTTAAAATGAGTAGAGGTCTTTGTTCCCAAACAATCAACTTATTTCAATTTATTTTTAATGTTGGAGTTTTTGCAACCTTGCATGCTGCATGGTGAAGGTGTGGCTGAGAAGAACCTTTCTAGTCTGGGGTGACTGTCAATCTATTCAGTAGTAAACCAATTGCTTCCTCCTGCCTCTGAATTAAAAAAGAGCCCTGCCTCTCTAATCAGTGCTTTTTTTTTTTTTACTCTCTAGAAGTCTGAAATAACTGATGTACAGAATGGCTATGAATTTTGATTCAGAAAACAGCCAAGGAGCCCGAAAAACCCACAACAACCATTAAATCCTTATATGTTAGAAAGCCTGGGAAAGAGTGAACCAGTAGAGGATTCCATCTTGGCAGGAAAAGAGGAGGATAAAAAAAATAGGAGAGGTGGAAGTGGAGTTAGAGGAGCAGAGTATTTGTTGACTGAGATAAAAAAGGCAGAGGAGAAAGACTGGGTGGAGATAGTGAAAGAAACCCTGTGGTCTGCAGAATGGGTTACTTTAAAAGTGCCTCTAGAAGTGGCCAAAAGGGAATAAAGTGAGAAGCTGGTAAGAAAACTTCCCTAATGGGGAGAAACTGAAGGGAGAGAACAAAGAAGAAAGGGAAGGGAAAGTTTTACTTGGGAAGCTAATTATAGTGAAACTAGACCATGTTTAGATTCCCCTGGGCCCAACTGTGAGAAGAACCAATTGTCTATCTGAGTTCACAGAGATCCAGGCCTCCGAGTATAGGAGCCCGGCTTGGGTTGGATATTTCACAAGTGAATCTATTTTTAAATGTTAATGTTGCTTCTACCCTCGTGGTGGAGATCTAATGTTGCCAGTTTGGTTAAGTCTAAGGAGGTTGTTATGAACACTGTTGTTAAAGAAGAATGGAGCCCAAAGAGTGAAATATTAAACCTGTTTTTTAAAAAGAGAAGAAGAAGAAGAAAATACGTTGATGCCAAAGAGTGAAATATTAAACCTGTTTTAAAAAAGAAGAAGAAGAAGAAAATACGTTGATGCCTGATGGAAAGAATAAACCATTAATTGTTTCAACTGAGCCTATGTCTGATATTGTGCAGGGAAAGGAGGGGGAGTCCTTACCTGAACCTCACAACCTCCTTGCAGGAAAGTTCTTCCTCCTAGGGAGACCAACAAATCCTGCAGCTGGCTTTCTGTCTCTAAAGAGGGAAATCTTTCTCTTTTAAAACACTTTCCATATATAAAGAGCTTCAAACATCTCACAGCCAATGAAAAGCCAGCATCTTTTCCTTCTTCTGTTTTACTTCTTCCTCCTTCTGGAGACTGGATAGCATTGCAGCTATTTTGATG